AAGCTGTTTTATGTGTAAGAGTACGTTAGAATCAATGAAGGGTTAATTTTTGTCTGTACAGTCTGACAAGTCATATAATGGTTGGAGACGGCTTGAATGGGTAATGAAGAAGAACTTAAATATAAGTTTAACATAACAGCAAATGTACAACGTTTTGATAATGTTTTGTCATCATCAGGTACCATTTTAATAAAGAAGACAGTTTCACGGTATGATTGGTTTATGGTAGTGGATAGGTTATATGTGCTTATTGCCGTTTCCTAAATCTGGGAATGAAATTGTATGGTTGACTTTAAAAGAAAGTTACAAGTTTGGTTAGTTCTTGCGAAGTAAATTCAAACAAAATAGTAATAATGAATAAATAAACAACGATAAAATAAATAAATAAATTTGTAATTGACTTAAATAAAAATCTATAATAATTATAATTCACACATACTAATATTTTTTGCATGAAAAATGATGGTACATATAGCGCTTGGACCACTAATTACTATGTCTGTCGTATGTAGGCGTTCCTCGGTGAGACAGCAGTAAGTCTACAGGTTTGCAAATCCTGTAGCACAAACAGGCCTAGTAAAGTAAGTGATGTGCCAGCTATTTGTTTACAGCTCCTACTCAAATATGGAATCTCGATGCAATTATTAGTATGTAGTGTTCTTGGTCGACCCAAACTTTGATTTCTACACACTCCACATGAGGTATTTCTGTTCTTGGAGCCATAACTGTATTCAGATTACTACTACTGTTTAGCATATTATTATTACCTGAACCTTTATTGGCTTTATATTGGTGTATCAGTTGTATCAACAATGTCTGCACTTTGAAACGGTTCATTTTCACACAATAATTTCGCTTAAATAACTTTAAGGGTAACTGTCTTCACACATCTGGCTGCAGACAATGGAAAGCAGTAGGAGGTGATACGTTGTGGATTTAAGCACTCTCCTCCGAAGGCTTGTTTTGATTTTCCATGATGGTCAACTTATACTCTGTTTGTTTTAGAGCAAAGCCACATTGGGCAATCTGTTGTGTCCACCGAGGGGAATCGAACCCCTCGGTTTTAAGTAAGTGGTGTGGGAGATATCAGTAATTAAGGTCCCGAGACACTTCTGTCATGGTGTTACTAGGCCTGTTTGTGTTAGAACACCATGACAGAAGTGTCTCGGGACCTTAATTATTAGGCTTGTTTGTGCTAAAGCACCATGACGTGACCTCTGATAATGATAACTCGTACACATCTTCCTCTAGAAAATTTGTTGACAACGTAGCACCATGAAACTGTACATGTGTGTGTGTGGGGGGGGGGTGAATCGGACCCCCAGTAATCTTGTAATCAAGTTTTGTCCTCAGTGTAACACTATGAAACAGAAAGATGAAATACCATCGCGTTTCTTTGATGAAAGTTTCTCTGAGAAAAAATTAAAAGCATCATCACAATCTCATTACGATAAACAGCAAAATACACGAGTTTTTTTTTATAGAAAAAATAAAATAAAGCAGAACAGCACTTGTTATTTGAAAACGGGGCAAATTAAGAATACGCTAAATTTCATATTGCAAATAAATGTCGCACAACACTTCTTCTTGTAAGGGCAATTGCAGCGCAACGTAACATTTACAAAAACGAAACACTATAGGAATTTTTTATTATAAAACACAGCAACTTGAGACTTCCTTATTTACAAAACAGAGCAATTTAGCAATTATATACAACGCTTCCTTATAATAAAGATTAATACAGAATAAAACTTTACTTCAAAAAAATCAGAAAATCCTTTTTGTAGAAATATGGCCATATAATTTTTTTACTTACAAAAGTAAGTCCCGATAGCCTTTCCCTATTTCCAACAAGACGGCATAAAATTCAATTACTATTTGTTTTAACTCCTGTGATAAAAAATTGTTTAAATAGTTCTGTTCTGCCTTACGTAAGTTGGCTCCTACCACAAAACTGGCATATTTTACAGTACGCTTCTTTCAGTACAAAAGTAATACTCATTTTAAATGTAAGGGGAACCTATATCGATATAATTTTGTTGTTTGAAGTTAAGCACAAAGCTACACAATGGGCTCACTGTCTGTGCTCTGCCTACCACGGGTATCGAAATCCGGTTTTTAGCGTTTTAAGTCCGCAGACATATCGTTGTGCCACTGGGGGGGGGGGCATATCGATAGAAACCACACACTTACATATGTATGTTTTTGTTTAGCCATGGGTGGGTAAAAAGTAGCCAGTAGTCCTTCAGGTCTATGCTGTAATCCCATGTGTGAATTTATGATAAAGAGATTCCTGTGTACGTTTTAAAAACTCAAAAGAAAAAAAAACATTACCCGAAAACCTAATGAATGTATTAAACAATTTTTCAACGCCCGCCTTATCTTCCACCTCTTGACGCTTGTTTTTGTTAGTGACCCCAAAAGAACGTTAGGAATTGCAAGGAAACGTCTCGAAACATATTTCTATAATAGCTCAGACGAACAGCATTTTTGTCAGCCTTACAAACCGACCTTTTAACGGTTCTTTATGAAGCAGAGGGAAATTTACTAAAAACAGAATTTCACTTAAAGAGAATGAAATGATATTGTAAAACCTCAACACCAGGTGACCTCTACGAATACCAACATATAATGAAATTCTGAAAGTTTCGGCATGTTTCAAAAACAATTGAACATTCGTTGCTCCTTTTCAACTTTCATTACTTCGAATAAAGCATTGCCTTTCAGCGACATTCCACGAAGTTATCTTTATTAACGTGCTTGCTTTTGAGGAAAATAATCAAATAAAATCCAAACACCACTTAATAAGGATTATATTATTGGAGGCCAAAATCCAATATAAATAAGAATGTACAGCTCTTTTGATTCACGTGACTAAAAAGAATTAAACAAAATTCAGATAAAAGCGCTTGTCACAAAACTTTTTTTTTCCTTGAGCATCTAGAATCAGACACAGCAAAGACTCCGCCTTTCCCTAGCTTTTCCTTTATGACAGTTTAATGAAGATAACGATTTTTTTTCATGAAAAGTTTATAGTTGTTATATTTTTACTTGAATACTTTCTATGGAAAATAAAATGATTATTGACGAAACTATATAAGCTTTCTTTTGCAAAGGATTAACGTCATTCATTTAGAATAAATTACTATTAGCGATTATATAAATACGAATCTGACGCCAGAAACATGGCTGTCTGGTTTAAAGAACTGGGATTTGAAAGCGAGTTCGATAAATTTCGAGAACATCATTTTATTTGAAAAGTGTTAAATGACACAAAAGATAAGTTTATATCGAAGACGATTTTTTTTCCCAAACAAACCCGAAATCTTGCTAAAAACAAAATTACTGCTTTACACATACAGTTTCAATTTTAAGATTAAAGTCCGTTAGGGTTCGTATCTTGGAAAATTTGAAATTTCGTAAAATATTTCATACTCTCTGTATGGCATAATGTTTAAGTAATTAGTCATAGGGAATTAATTATAACATCGGCTGTTTACTACAACAGTATTTTTTTTCCTAGAAAAGTCAATATATGTTATTTCGATTAGTAAGGGTTAGGTGATCTTCAGATCGGTAAATAAGTAATGTTACGTACTTATGAAACTGTTTTCTCTCTAATAACTTTTGTTTTGTGTTATAGCAAAGCCACATGGGGCTATCTGCTGTGTCCACCAAGTGGAATCGAAGCCCTTATTTTAGCGTTGTAAATCTGAAAACTTACTGCTGTCCCACCGGGGGACAATAACTTTTGTATTCCAAAGAATATCTCCCAAAACTATTTAAGGATTAGTGAGTGCTTTAGTGTAGTGGAAATTGTGTCTCTGTGTTTCAAAACGCATCATATTTTCTAATTATTTCATGCTGGTTTTCTATACGTAATTAATAAATTAAAACTAAATTTGCTTTAACTTTTTGTCATAATGTATCACTGTAATCTTATTTCCCTTTTCTTTTCTTTTTTAAAATTTATATCGTGAACAATTAAGTAATCTTTAATTACTGTTATTAGAATAATTCAAATATTTTTTATCATTGCTGCATATTTACATGGAAATGTAAGACAATTCAAACTATCACATTAAAATTTTATTCTTTTTCGTTTCAAACTAGTCACTCCTAAAACTGTACAGTTTTACCCAAAATATATAAGACACAAATGGAATAGAAATAACCCAGTGGGTTAACACTAACTATATGTATTTACAAGGCTTAAAATCCAGGATCGATTTCCCGCGGAGCGCAGATGGCCTATTGTGTAGCTTTGCGTTAAACAACAATGCTGAAGTTTACCAGTTCAAATACAATTGCTACAATGTTAATATGAATGTCGTTTTCTTCTTCCACTTGCTTTTCTACTGCACGAGCCACCCCCCTCCCCCAATGGCACAGCGGTATGTTTGCGGACTTACAACGCTAAAAACCGGGTTTCGATACCCGTGGGGGGGGGAAGAGCACAGATAGCCCATTGTGTAGCTTTCTGCTTAATAACAAACAAACAATCTACTGCATGTATTCAGAAAAAATAGTAATATTTTTATTTCGAATTGCCGTTTAAAACATTCTTTTAAAAGACTTCACAACAGAAATAAGTTTTTGTTGTATAGAAATCCGTCTTAATAATAATATATATATTTGTTACGTAATAATTAAGTTCTCTTTCATGAAGTTCAGTGCACATGATGCTGTACAGACCGTATTGATTAAACTGGCAACGAGCACCTTCCTCTACTTTATTTTTTATTAATTAATGACTTACGTATTTAATTTAATCTATTCACTGTAGCTTTGATTGGTTTATATGAAAACGAAATTAAAAAAATAATAATGTTGCTGATTTAACCAATCATGGTCATTTTATTGAGAGTTTTTCCAGAAAAATCATCTTTTCATAATTACCAAAATGTAGACATAATTATTAGAGAAAGAAAGAAAACTAAGCTACCGCTCTAATCCTGGAATAAAAGTGATTTCCCAAAATACGATTATAATTTATCCAGAGGATGACGACAACAGTGGTGCTATCACTCCAATGGTAGCAGCTTTCATCGTGGTGGCCGTTGTGTTGGTGGTGGTGCCAGTTACCGGAATAATCATCATGAGAATAAAGAAAGCGAGAACTAGACAAGGTATAGAAGATATCGATTGATTTTATGTAAAATACAAAATCTTATTTGAATCTAATAATTCATATTTCTCCTTCTGAAAATATTTCAGACGAGAAAAATAATGATACTGGGTTGTTTATTGAAAATGCTGTTACTGTTCTGTAGGATAAACAACGATATTTTAGGAGTAATCTTTTATTTCCTCACATAAAAAAACGACAGCGAACTAAAACTCGTGTAACTTTTGAAAATCTCTCTCATCGAATATGCATGAGTTACAAAATATCTAGAAACTAAAGGAAGAGAATCAGAGATGTGTTTAGAGTGTTTTCTTTTTTTTGTCACTGTGATTTATGGTTTCGTTTTCTTTACTCCTACACAGCTGTCTGTCAACAAGAGAAAAATGACGAAATGTAAGTAGCTATTTTAGAATATTTAATGTAGAATTTCATTTTATAAATCATTTTAACTCTTTGTTCAGTGTAAGCTATTGAAATAAATGTCAGGATTCATATCTCTCAGTGTTTTTAGAACATCATCTCAATTGCCTACAATATTTCATATGATAAGCTAATTTCATAAATCGTTACTTTCTAAACATCCGAGCGTTATGACGACGGAGAGAATAAAACGGATAAAACTGCTGTTGCTACTACGTTAATGGCTAACGTTTTTGTAATTAACTAGTAACGATTTAATTACTGAATCATTGATCACTGGATTTGAACCTGTCTTAAACTTCTGAGGTTCAAGTGACTGTTGGATTCTAACGCTATGCAAAGCTGCGACCATTTGATCAGTTGTAGTTATAACTCTGGGGGTATTTTAAAGGGTAAAACCCTTTAGCTTCCATATAATGTTATAATTTCCATGATATGCTTTGAAAGACCAACTTTATACTTAGGTAAAATCCACCTGTTTAATTTTCGTCTTTGTCGATTTTGAGTTTATCTAGTTAGTTCAATAATATAAAAAAAATGTCAGTATATAAATCCTGTGTCTTACAGCATGAAATCAGATATTTCAGTTTGTTTCAGAATAAGCTTCGTTTATACAGTTCTGGTTTTGTTAATCGGCTTGAAACTTTTTATAATGTAACAGATCATTGCATGCTCATATTACACGCATATATATCTATCTTTCTCATTACTTCGTCGAATGTATCCCTAATAACAACCTAATTATAACTTGCGTTGTTTTTATTGGGGGGGGGGGTCAGTACTCTGTTGTATGTTTTTTACATACATTTTTACATTTCTTTTTATCAAGTATATCATTGTTTATCTCTATTCATTATAATTGTAATTAGTGTCTATGTAACATTTTACTTTATTCAGAATACACTAATAATAATTAATTATGATGCCATCTGAAACGTTTTGTATCAATGTTGTTTGTTGATAGTAAAACAAATTTTCTTCTTTCGTATTCCAGATCTGATATAAGTTACAACAAAAGTACAAACATTGCCTCGGACCACAACGATAAAGGTCCAGATATCATTCCAGATCAAATGTTGGCCAGAGTGTTTAGTGAAGGTAATATATACTTGAGCTCATCAACAGTTTGAAACGAAAATATGGTGTTCAGTTTCCTCTTTAGTTCAGCTAAGGCTCTGGAGTAGATGGCGTCTTTTTTAAGAAGATTTAAGAAAAATGTTTTTTAGGTTGTATATCATCAGTGATCAATTATGTTTCCGTCGACTTTTTTATGTTGGTTACAGCATGTTGGTTATTATGCTGAGATGAAACCTCCGCTTGAATAGCTCCAGCGGTTGAATTAATGGTGATTATCCATGTTCTATCTTTTTCGCTATTACAGAGGAACTACCTCGGAGATTTCCCCCCAGCCCTCGGATCATTCTCTGAATGCTGATGACGTTTTCAAGGCGTACTTTATGACCAAAAAGTAAAATATCCTGGCTTATAATAAAATACACGTATATATATATATATATATATATATATACACACTTCGTGGGTGGATTCTCAAAGATTTATTTTCTGTGGTTTAGTAGTAACTATGTGAACTTCTATAAAGTCGAATTTCGAGTCCAAATTTCAATTCTATCTAGCGCTTTAAGATTGGTTTACATTAATCCTTGGTATTGATAACCGTATTTTCGATCGAACTAAGGAGATGCTAGAAACTTAGTTCTCATCAGAAGAATAATTGTATGCACCACGAAAGAAAAATGAATAAACTCTTTGTAGGCTGAATTTTCGTACTTTTGAATGTATTTATATTGTAGGCTACAACAAACACAACGATGTTTTGATCGTTGTGGAAAATGTTTTCTTTTTTAGGGGAGAGGAGGTATGTATTAGAAAGTAACTTTTTTTTTAACTTTAACTAATTATGACAAGGAAATTTGGGGCTTTATTTTAACTACCTTCCCCCCGAAGGCTTTTAATTAGAAAATAAAATTACATAAAACAGCCGATAATTAACGTTTAGGTATATCCTCGTTTTTAGTCCTATCTAGGTAGTCCCACGCTGGAGCTGCAGTCAGTTTATGGACTTACAACGCTAAATTTCGGTGTCCAATTCCCGCGACGGACAGAGCGCAGATACATAGTGAAAATGAGCAAATATCAGCGTAAAAATTATAAAGCGATTTATAACAACTATCAGGCATTTAATAGTAACACTCTCTCACTACCTATCATTCTGCTTGCCCATCTATCTATCTTTCTCTCTCTCTATCTGGCTGTTTAGTTATTTTATACCCCTCCATGCGTTATCATTAGATGGAAAAAGTTATTTAGATTTTATTACTTGGGGAATCATCAGGCTGCTGCTCATTTTCAAGCTTTCAAATGATCAGAAAAAATGAAAAAATAGCTCAAAACGTGAATTATTATAATAAGATAAATAAGGTAATATTATCTGCTCATTTGTCATATATTCTCCAGTTTCTATAAACTTATAATAAATTTGTATAGATTAGAAACACACGTATATGCTAGTTCGAAAATGTAACGAGATATGCATGCAATCTCTTGGTAACCATTGATTGTAGGCACATGTACTTTTATTCTTTAGAAATAATAGTAATTGATTATTATTTTTTTATTTCAAGGATAACAACTAAAAACATCAGCGTAGATCATTCCAAGTATCATGTTTACTACATATCTTAGCTTCATTAATGTCTGTTACTATAACATTATGGTGCGTGTTCAACCATTATTAGGTTGTAGAGCAAAGTTATTGTTCAAATTGTAAAAACAAAAGCATATACACATATATACGAATATAGCTTATTTGGATCTTCACACTTGACAGCTTCAGCACCTTGTATTATATGATGTGAAACTTACACTAGATAAACATTTTATCACGATTTGCTACAGTGTTCGAGAGTATTATCTAGTATTTTATAGTTCTATTCAATGTTTTATAGTTCTGTTCAATATCTTTTTGTAAGGGTGGAGGTTGGGAGTTTAATTAGTAGAAATATTGGGGTGGCTATATTTCAATTCATAACTGCCTTCCCTCTAGTCCCTCTAAAACTAGTGACGGCTAGTGCTGATTGTCGTCTAGAAACTTTGCGAGAAATTTAACAAAGAAACAAACATCTGGGCTTAAAATATTCCAACCGTTGTTACTATTTCGTTGTCAGAATAGTAGCATGGTCAAATTAACAAAAAGTGTATCAGTGTTGTCTAACGTGAAATAAAAACATTATTGAAAAAACGTCATGCATGCCCCCTACTGGTCATCGTATTGGTCAGTTTATCCCATCATCGTCACCGTACTTATTTTTTTCTTTCGATAGATTTATTACTTTCGCTATTTGTTACTATCGTTCGAAGATGGTTCCATCTTTTGAAAACTCTCACGCTTTTTGCTTGTTTTTCGTTTGCTATATGAAGTAGTATGTTTGTACTTTTATCCATAGAAAAATATCAGAGTCCAGTTTTTCTTAAGTTTATACATTAAATAACTTGAAATAGTCTTGTTTCGTGACAAAGGCTAATGTTTTGTTTTTCGGTAGAGATCTCATTGCGCTATTTTGAAGTATAAATTTTGAAGGGTTTTCTTCTTTTTATAGATCATACACTACTTGTAGTTGGTTTATAAAAAAAAAACAACTAAAGGTGTAATGCACAAATGTCACGTAATATCTGTATAGAGAACACGAGAATATAAGATTACTATGAAAACACGCGGCTAGAAAAGGATGTGATAAGGTGATAATGAAGTGATTAGCTAGAGATTTAACGTTAAATGATTTGTTATCAACGAAAATCGTTAGAGCAAAAAATATGCCGGTGTAACAACGGTTTGTAGCTATGATAGAATTTCTTTTAAATATATAGCGTTCCATAAATGTTTCATCATCAGTAAATATAACTTATAAATTTGTTTATTTTAAGGCATCCTTGGTACTGAAGATAAATGCTTACAGCTTGCAACGTTCACTGAAAATCCACACACGGACAGATCCAGCCAAGCCGGCAGATCATCTGAAAGCAGATTAATCAGAGATAGAACATCTTTAAACGAGTTGGTTCAGCCTCAGTTAAGTACAGGCCTTATGAAGGTATGTGTTTTTAATCAGGTTAGTTGTATCAAATAAAACCTTTATGAGGGTCAGTTTTTGTAATTAATTTAAATGTACCAATTACAATCTTTATGAAGGTATTTGTTTTTGATTAATTTAGTTGTGTCAAATACAACCTTTATGAAGGGACGTGTTTGTAATAAATTTAGTTGTACCGAAGTCTATTTTAGTAAAACATTATATGTTTACAGAAATAACCCTATTCAACAAACATAATATATATGTGTTTACTTTACAGGGTTAACTGTATTTGTATATTATATGTTTCAGAAATGACCCTATTCAACAAACATAATATATATGTGTTTACTTTACAGGGTTAACTGTATTTGTATATTATATGTTTCAGAAATGACCCTATTCAACAAATATAATATATATGTATACCTTACGAGGTTAACTGTATTTGTATATTATAGGTTTGACAGCGCTATGTAAGTGTAAACATACTTCTTCTCAGACGTAATAGCTCCTGATGGAGGGATCTGTGGGAAAACTGTTGTATGTTAATAGAACATTAAATATTGTTCAGATACTTAAAAGGGATTTATCGTGCCTTACAAAATATAACTATATCGACCCCCGGAGAGTTTACTGCTCTAAAGATTGTGGGTTGTAAATTTGAAACTTTATTATTTTTTTACATACATGCCAAAGTGTTTAGCATAGCAAGACCACTACAGTAAAAAGTCTCTTGGTAGGAGTTACTAGCTTACGGAGGATTAGGCACAATTCTATATAGTAATGTTTAGCTTTTTTTATGTGAGCAGGATTTATAAATACAAAACATTTTGTTTTGGAAGAAAGTTAATCTTGTTTTTGATGTTGCGTTTTATGGATAAAAGTTGGCAAATGCTTGCTATACGTTAATTCTGAAATGAAGTATAGCGTGCATTTTACAGAGCCCTCTATCATGGTCAGAAACTATAGTTATCTTCCGTGTTAAGTTCAATTCGCAGATGCACGCACTTTTAGTATCACAGTATGACGTCATGTACTGAAACAAAAACTTTAAGTCTTGATATTTCCTTAAAGACGATTTATAAATGATTATGGCAAGTTCCAGAACATGGCACAATAAATCATATACATCATATGCTTTTGATTCAAGAGCAAAGCGCGTATCATTGGGATCACATTTATCAATGTGAAATCAGACAACTTTATAGTTCTCCCGTCACCAGACATTAATTACGATAGTAATCTTCCTAGTTCTAAATGGGCTTGTCATTATCCCCAAGATTGTCAGTGAATGCATATACAACTGTATCTAACAGATGATAAAACGTCCACGTGGATTGTGAAATGGAATCAGTTGTAATTACCCGAACTTGAGAATACGCGGTTTTGTAGACCCTTTTGTTGACAGTTAGTAGAGTTAGAACATGGACAGAAAACCCAGCCGCGAGCAAATTTTGGATGTATAACATATGATTACAGTAGATTATAGCTGTTCATTTGTTCAGTCTTATTTGTGGTTTATGATTATCATTAAAGATTAGTTTTCGTAATTAATTTCTTACATCAAAGTTCAGCGTCGGAAATGAGGACATCAGGCTTAATTAATTTTTACACTAATAATGAAGATCGCTATAATTTCATAAAACCGAATTAGTTTATTAAATTTAGAAACCGTTTTTTTTTGTATAATTACATATTTCAAGTTATTATTTAATCACGTACATCATACAGTTAAATGTATTAAATATAGCTATATCTTTAGATATGCGTAGAGCAACAGGGAGTTTGTTAACTATGTCTACGTATACAGTACGTGGACGGAATACCTCGTGTAATATTCATCTGACTTCAACAAATCAATTTGCACGATGATAAATCATTAAAGGAGAGGTCATTTTTCCCATCGCTTACTAAAAGCGTCAATAGCTCAGTACAGATTACAGGATTTCCATTTTAATGGACGCGTTTGTGAATTTCTAGCCATGAATACAGGAAAACTTTACATTTTGTCCTGATCTCCACTAGAAGATAACTTATGAATGTAGTTCTGGTCTGAGTAAAAAAAAGACATCGTGGTTTTAGTCTAGACTGTACTAGAAAAAGGCATTAGAATGAAAACTTGATATGGACTAGAATAATGCTTCAAAACTGAGGTCATGAACTTGATCAGAAGAAAGCATTGGCATCAAGGTCTACTCTGGATGAAGAGAAAGCTTCAGAATGGAGAAATCCAAAATGTAATCAATAACAAAAACTTACAATTCAGCTTCTATGCGTAAAATAGCATTCCGGTATAAAGCTCAGTCGTCAAAACCTTTATGTAAAACCATCTGCTAAATTTAATCGTTTCTGAAAACGATGTGTCCATTTTAAACTTTGCATGTTTCCGGCACCAATAACAACGAAATAACTTTAAACTGAAGTAAACGTTTCGCGATAATGCAGTCTATGATTATGAACCGTACATAAACACAGAGAGGTAGAAACGTTTATATTATTCAGTTCGGTTCAACCCTATGCTCACTCAAATCCCCACGGTGTTCTTAAAATAGAGGTGTGATCTGTATCAGATATTCACTGGATAATAGAGATTTGGTTTGGCTAGAAGAACTTCTTAGAAAGGAGGTCTGTTCTGAACCATAACTAGGCTTCAGAATGAAGGTTTGACCTAAACCAGAAAGAGTTAGTTTTCGCCTAGTGGTTAATGGATCAAGCTGCATATCAAATGGTCCAAGGTTCAAGACAGGAAGCCTTACTATCAGTTGTGAACACGTTATAAAAGTGATAGTTAATCCAGTTGTTCGGTTGGATGGTATTGCCTAACTGAGGTATCTTTGGTCAGTAGTTTAAAGTTAGGGATGGCTTTATCTGGATGTTTTAAATTTCTCATCTGGCTGAAATAAACGATCCCATGTGCACATAAGGTGAGATATAGATTGAAAATACGGATTAAAATTCCTGGACATCCACCAAACGCAAATGATGCTCTGTTTGAGCTACAGAAAAGCTTTTGAGAGGTCTGGTGCTCACCTGAACAGGGTTTGGGCTAGAGTTAATCCTTAGAAAGGTCTAATGTTGACCAGGAGAAGGTTTGGGCTAGAGGAAATCCTTAGAAAGATCTGATGTTGATGAGGAGAAAGGTTTGGCTACAGTAAATCCTTAGAAAGGTATGATGTTGACCAGTAGAGGCTTTGGGCTAGAGAAAATCCGCAGAAAGATCTGATGTTGACCAGAAGAAGTCTCAAAATGGAGGTATTCTCTAGACGAAAAAAAAATTCTCAAAATGGAAGGCTTGTTTATAACAGAAACATGCGTCAGAATTAAAATATAATATGGTAGAAAAAAATACTCTAACGTCCAGGGCAAATGAATACTTTAGCATTATAGTTGTATTGTCATTATCAAACACTTTAAAACAGCTGCTGTCCATAGGAAATGTTTATGCAACATTTGTATATTTCTCTGTCTAAGAAATGTGAACGTGTACATATATGTACTATATATAAAAATCATAGAACTTATGCAAATATATAGCATAAGATTTTCCAGTACTTAACCTTCGACTTGTTAGATATTTGTAACCGTTTTAACATTTGCACTAATAAACGTATTTTAAAGTGAAATTTGTATAAATCATTTAGCACCAATTATGATTATAATTCCAAGATTTCCCTGTCTCATTTTTCATAAGTTACTGTCAGGGTACTCTATATGGGTATAGTGTATATACCCAGTGACCTAATACATTTGTACATTGTCCATTAATATAAATCATTCTTACAACATACCATCGACAGATTTATAACAAATACATCACATGGTTAAATTGATGGCGTGAACAAATCTCTCGGTGTCATGATCAGCATTGTGCAGTACATCACTTCAACCAAGAAAATAAGTGTCACCTATAGCTCATACGTTAAGAACTAGATGTATGATTTATTTTCTTCGGTTCAGAATTTTCACGCAAAACTTTACTGGAGCTATCTTCGTATGGTCATTGCTAATCTTGAATTGATAGGTTATGGGGAATGGAGTTAGTCGACAGCACCAACCGCCAACTCTTGAGGAACTAAACTTATCTGATCGAAATAGTGGGATTTAACAGCGCATCCACAGCCCCAAAGTATGGAACACGTTTTTGATGAAATGGGTCACGAACTAGGAATCATCAGATTTCCATTTAGAGCAAATGAAACACTAAATCACACATGGTTCTGTATATATACAGACTGGATTAAATAAGGATACTTTTTATTTATGTATAAACTAGTTAAATCTAGCGAAACATAATGTTAAAAAATAACAACATACAAACGAGGTTTTGAAACATATATACATTCGTGAATAAATAATGTTATTCAGTGTGACAGGTTCTTCTTTTGAATTATTTAAGTAATAATCTTTTCTGTTGTATTTCGGGTTACTTAGTATAAATGTTCTTAGGTTTGTTATATCTGCTACAGCTTCGATTACTTTGTCACTAGAAATATAGTCATAGCTTCGGTTACTTTGTCACTACAAATATAGTCACAGCTTCGGTTACTTTGACACTACAAATATAATCACAGCTTCGGTTACTTTGAAACTACAAATATAGTCACAGCTTCGGTTACTTTGTCACTACAAATGTATATTACATACGCCTCTCTCTAGGCCGCATAACTTCATTCTAAGAAACTTAACTTCGTGTGAAAAAAGTTTTCCTTGTGAAGTGATTTTTATACTTATTTATTTGTGCATCACTCACAGTTGACGTGGAAAAAGAGATAACAATCTTGGATAGGCGATACCTAATAGATAAACTCCTGGAATGTGGAAATAGTAGAACACGGATATAACCTAATAAGGTAATTCTTCCGTTGACGGCCTGTCCGTGAGTTAACGGGAGAAATTCTGATGAAATTAGATTTCTATCTGTCGCAGTAACACTCGCATACATATACCTAGCGTATACGTATGAATATACTCAGTTATATATCTGTGGATAGACACTTCCTACTTAATCTTGATATGTT